ACAGGAGGAGAAGGAGACAGCATGCATGCATGCATGCTGTCTCCTTCTCCTCCTGTCTGTCTCCTTTCTTCCTCTCTCTGCATCTGTCTCCTTTCTTCTGTCTCCTTCTATTGTTGTGTCGTCTTTCTTTCTCTTATGGTGTCTCCTTTCTTTCTATCCTGCCGTCTCCTTTCTTTCTCTCCCTCTGTCTCCTTCTATCGTTGTGTCTCCTTTCTTTCTCTCCTTCTGTCTCCTTTATTTCTCTGCATCTGTCTCCTTTCTCTCTCTGCATCTGTCTTCTTTTATCGTGGTGTTTTCTTTCTTTCTCTTCTTCTGTCTCCTTTCTCTCTCTGCATCTGTCTCCTTCTATTTTGCTGTCTCCTTTCATGTCTCTTCTTCTCTCCTTTTGTGTGTCTTCTTTTCTCTCTCCTTTTCTGTCTCTTTCTCTTTTCTTTCTGTCTCATTTTCTATCTCTGTGTGTCTCTCTCTCTGTCTCCTTTTTCTGTATATCTCTCTGTCTCTTTCTCTTTTCTTTCTGTCTCCTTCTCCATCTATATGTCTCTTTCTCTTTTCTCTCTCTCTCTGTCTCCTTTTTCTGTATCTCTCTCTGTCTCTCCCGTTTCCTTCTGTCTCCTTCTCTATCTCCATTTCTCTTTCTCTTTTCTCTCTGTACACATCTCTGTCTCTCTCTTTTCTTTCTGTCTCCTTCTCTATCTCTATATCTCTTTCTCCTTTCTCTCTATCTCTCTCTCTCTCTCTCTGTCTCTCTCTGTCTCCTTTTCAGGCTACCAGACAACAGATGCTACAACGCAGCGTTTCGAGGGCATAATCCGTGGCTGTGAACATTTTACAAAAAAGGAGACATGTGACTTCATGCATGCGCATGCAAGGAGACAGATGGAGAAAGAAAAAGAAAAAAATAAAAAAAATAAAAAACAACATAGTGTCTCCTTAACAGCTCATCTAGGCCCTTCTCCTTTCTTTTGTCAGTGGCTACCAGGGGGTCCAGAGGAGGAGACAGAAGAGCACACAAACAAAGACAAAATAAATAATAAAAACAACAAACAGCAGCAGCAGCAGCAGCAGCAGCAGCAGCAGCAGCAATATCTAGGGGGCAGCAGTGTCTGTGGAAATCTACGCGATGCCCCCTCAGCTGAGCGTCTCCTGTGGGGTACAGTCGTTGCAGAAAAAGAAAAAAAACTCAGAGGTTAGTACTGCTGCTGCTGCTGCTGCTGCTGCTGCTGCTGCTGCTGCTGCTGCTGCTGCTGCTGCTGCTGCTGCTGCTGCTGCGCTTGCTGTTGCTGCTGCACTTGCTGCTGCTGCCGCTGCACTTGCTGCTGTTGCTGTTGATGTTGCTGCTACACTTGGTGTTCTTGCTGCTGCTGCTACAGTGGTATCCCTGCTGCTGCTGTTACAGTTGCTGCTGCTGCTTTTGCTGCTACTGGCCTGGCTGCTGCTGCTGCTGCTGCTGCTGCTGCTGCACTTCGTGTTGCTGTCTCCTCACTTAGCTGCTGCACTGCACGCTATGACATAAAAAAAAAAAATAAAAAAACAGAAAAAGCCCCAAAGTTGAACGCATGCAGTTTGAGGGATATTCCCCTGCATGGGGAGTATTTGCTGCAGCAAATGTATATCCTGCTGCTGCTGCTGCTGCTGCTGTTGCTGCTGCTGCTGCTGCTGCTGCTGGTGCTGGTGCTGCTGCAGAGCTGGAGAAGACAGAACATGTTAGCAAGGGAGAAGTGTGTGTGAGGCCCAGCGACAGCCTCGCTGTGCTGACGCCCGAGAGGCCCTTCTACACTGTGGGGACTATCATAAAGGTGAGGGTGTCTCTCTTTCTCTTTGTTTTTTTCTGTCTCCTTTTGTTTTCTTTTTGTTTAGTTCTGTCTCCTTTATGTATGTGTGTGTGGGGATGGGTCTCTTTCTCTTTGTTTTTTTCTGTCTCCTTTTGTTTTCTTTCGCTTTACTTCTGTCTGCTTTATGTATGTGTGTGTGGGGGGGTGTCTCTTTCTTTCTCTTTGTTTTTTTCTGTCTCCTTTTGTTTTCCTTTGCTTCACTTCTGCTGTCTCCTTTGTGTGTGTGGGTGGGGGGGGGGTCTCTCTTTCTCTTTGTTTTTTTCTGTCTCCTTTTGTTTTTTCTTTTGCTTTACTTCTGTCTCCTTTGTGTCTCCTTGGGGCTTTATGCGCTTCTGTGCTGTCTCCTTTACTTCTCCTTTTTGTCTCTTCTGTCTCCTTCATCTGTCACCTGTCTCCTTTTTGTCTCTTCTGTCTCCTTTGTGTCTCTCTTCTGTCTCCTTTGTGTCTCCTTTGCATCACTCTCCTGTCTCCTTTTGTGTCTCCTTGCTGTCTCTGTTTTGTTGTTGCTTTCTTCTTTGCTTCTGTTTTTTGTTTTCTATCACTTTTGTCTCTCTCGTTGTTTCTTCTGTCTCCTTTGTGTCTCTCTCCTGTCTCCTTTGTGTCTCTCTTCTGTCTCCTTTGTGTCTCTCTTCTGTTTCCTTTGTGTCTCTCTTTTGTCTCCTTTGTGTTTCTTCTGTCTCCTTTGTGTCTCTCTTGTCTCGCTCTAGCCTCTTTCCTCTGCGCTGTGTGTCTCCCCTCTGTCTCTATGTATCTCGTGTGTGTGCGTGTGTGTATGTGTTCTGTGTGTGTATGTGTGTGTGTGTGTGTATGTATGTATGTATCTCGTGTGTGTGCGTGTATGTATGTATGTGTTCTGTGTGTATGTGTGTGTGTACGTGTTCTGTGTGTGTATGTATGTGTTCTGTGTGTGTGTGTGTATGTGTGTGTGTGTATGCATGTGTTCTGTGTGTATATATGTGTGTCTTGTGTGTGTGTATAGGTGTCTTGTCTGCCTGGCGCAGTGTTGCTGGGTGTGAGTGGGGAGACAGAGTGCAAGGAGAGCGGGCACTTCGAGCCAACAATAAGCTGCATAGAAGAAGGAGACATCTCAGACACTCAGCTGCGTTTTCTAAGAAAAGAAGCAAAAGTTCTTGCTGCTGCTGCTGCACCCAACACCCCACACAGTATGTCTTTGCTTCGCTGTCTTTATTATTTTTTTTATACTTTTTTTTTTTTTTTATATTGGGGTGTGTCTTATGGTTGTTTTATTCTTTTGGTGCCTCTTTTGTTGTTTTGGTGTTTCTTCTGTCTCTTATTAGGGTTTTGCGGTTTAGGGTTTAGGGTTTTAGGGTTTAGGGTTTAGAGAAGAGACACTGCATGTGGTGGGCCCGTACACACACAAAGGCTGTCTCTCTTTCTGCTGTTGCTGCTGTTGTGTCTGCAGGCACGTGTCTCCTTTTTGCTGCAGCAGCAGCAACCATCAGCTATTTGCTGCTATAGAGAAAGTATATCTTTATATATTTATATTTCGGTGTAAGCAAGGGACGGTGTCTCCTTTTTAGAGACAGTCTGTCTCCTCGTGTGTTGAGGAGACACCCCGCGACGTAATTTGTTTAATTAATTTAATTTATTACATTAAATTTATTTATTTATTTAATTTATCCTCAATATAAACATAAAAATATGAGGAAGGTGAGGGGGGTTTATATTCAGGGCTGCTAGCACCTGCCTGTACACCCCACTAACATCTGGGGTGTATAGGCACCTCAACTCACAGCTAGCATGAGGTGTACAGACACCCCAACTTTTATCTTTAAGAAATAAAAAATAAAGAAATTATATTGTCTCCCTGCTGCTACTCTATATCGCACTAAGAATATCTTTGCCTCTGTAGGAGACAAAGTTCTGTGGCTCTGCTGCTGCTGCAGCAGCAGCAGCAGCTGCTGTTGCTGCTGCTGTACCTGCTGCTCTTGCTGCTGCTGCACACCTAAACTAAGCTGCTGCTTTAGAGACAACTGCATGGAGACAGTACCAGGGGCAGGCAGTCCCCTGCTAGTGAGGTGCGGAGACACCTGAAGAGGTGCGGAGACACCTGAAGAGGTGAGGAGACACCCCACAGAGGTGAGGAGACACCTCAGCTGTTCTTTGTCTGTACACTCTTTAAATGCTGTTTACCACCAAGACAAAAGGCTAAAGATGACACAACAAAAGCAACACAAAGACAAGAGGTGCTGCTGCAGCAGCAGCAGCAGCAGCAACCTCGGCAGACGCCCAGTCTGGCGCGAAACAAAGTGCCGTTGATGCCCGTGCTGCTGCTGCTGCTGCTGCTGCTGCTTCAGCAACACTGCTGCTCACGAGACTCTACAAGGGCAGTTTGTATGGAGACCCAACACCGTCTCTCCGCGTCTGTGCTGCTCGATGATTGCTGCAGCAGAGCAGCAAGCTGCTGCAGCAGCAGNGCAGCAGCAGACACCCCACACAGAACCTCTATACATTTCTGTGGCGAAGGTGCCTATACACCCCAAACCTGAATATAATGTCGCTATAATATAATGTAATATAAGAAGACAGAGAAAAGAGAAAGAAAAAGAGAAAATAGAGAAAATAAATAAAAAAAGAAAACAGAGAAACAAAGACAAGAGAGACAGTAGAGAGAAAAAGAAAGAAAATAAAAAGAAAAAAACACAGAGGGGGAGAAAGAAAGGAGACAAAGTTTCTCTCTCTAGGGTTTAGGGTTTAGGGTTTAGGGTTTAGGTAGAGAAGTACTGGGGTGTACGTACATGAAAGGCCTCCAGCATCCACCGTATGCATGCGCTGCAGCAGCGCAGCTTTTGCTGCTGCTGCAGCGACAGTGGCTGCGAGCAGCAGAGTTCTATGGCATCCAGCACCAGCTGCATCTGCTGCTCAGGGCTCAACGAGCTGCTGCACACACCTGCTGCTGCAGCATCCCACTCCTGCTGCTGCTGCT